ATGATCAGGGAGCAGCAGGGCAGGCCCTGTGAGGAGAGGCTACGGGACCTGAACCTGTTCAGCCTCCACAAGAGAAGGCTGAGGGGGGATCTAGTGGCCTGTTACAAGCTAGTTGGGGGGACCAGCAGGCACTGGGGAAGTCACTACCAGGAGCGACCAGGAATAACCGTCACAAGCTGGCAGAGGGTAGATTCAGGCTAGATATCAGGAGGTGCTACTTCACGGTCAGGGCGGCTAGGATCTGGAACCAACTTCCAAGCAAAGTGGTGCTGACTCCTACCCTGGGGGTTTTTAAGAGGAGGCTAGACAAACACCTTGCTGGAGTCGTTTGACCCCAGTACTCTTTCCTGCCATGGCAGGGGGTCGGACTCGATGATCTGCTCAGGTCCCTTCTGACCCTACAGACTACGAAACTATAAGAGAGGGATGGGTGGCAGTGACAGAGCAAGAAGCAGGGGGTGGCTTTATAATGTATTAAATCAAGTGATTCCCTGGCTCACAACCTAAGCAGTATATTGCTGCTTCCCTCTGGTGGCCAAAAGTGGTGATTCAGCTGTAATGTTGTCCAGAGATTTCTGTTAGCACTGTGTCCCAACCCACAGACTCACAGATGACTAATGTTCTAAGGATTAGTAACTGGCATGGTCTCAAAGTCAAATACCACCAGCTGTGCAAGTCAGTAAAGCCAGTCAAGGGACATTGATCCAAACAAGGGAACATAAAGGGGAGGAAGGAAAGCCTATACAGGTATGCCCAGGAGCAAGCATCAGAGCCTCTTTGGAAGACCTTTGATTAGCTACAGCCAATTGAGGAGTGCAAAGAAAGCAGCCAGACAGTCCTGTTAGGGACCTCAGTGGAATCCCTATCGGCCCAAAGTATCCCAAAGCCTTTGTCTAGACCTATAACATCCAGGAGTCACCTCTTTCTCCACACAAACCCACGAGCACTGAAACGTGAGCTTCCCTGAGGTGGGACACAGCAGGGGCTGAACAGCACACAAGAAAGCCACAAGAAAGTGAAGGAGAGAGGTGGAATGAGGTTGGACAGGGGGCAAGGCCAGGTCACTGCACTGCAGCTGGCACCAGTTGCATGGCAGAAGGTGCTATAGGATCAGTCACAGCCACAGTCAAACCCTGTTTTGTTTGTCTTACAAAAAGACCATTCTCCCAGAAGCCCAAAGTAAGGACTTTTTGGTTCAGCCCTGTCTCAGAGGGAACAATCAGCCTATGTCTCTGAACTTTGCCATTCTCTATGCCCTTTCTTTAGAGCTGCGGATCTTGCTGCTTTGTGGCAGTGACCTGCTCGAGTCCTTCTGTATCCCAGGCCTCTGGAATGAGTCTGACGTGAGTAGCAGTCTACGGATGTGCACAGTTATATGCTCTTTCCCTCCTCCCCTTCCCCAGTCATTTTTCTTGCCTCTTTGCTTTCATCCATGGTGACCTTACATGTGGCATAACATACCCAGGAAGTGACCCAGTCAACTCTCTTGAGAGACCTGGAGCTGTCTGCCTCCGTCTGCTGTTCCATCCCACCCCCCTCCATGGCACTAGCAGCTCTGTGTGAGCGAGCCAGTAAGGGATTTGCCTGACTCACAAACCCCACTCATTTTTTTTATTTCATCTTAGATCCAAATACTCTTTCCCATGCACATCTGCTTTTCTCTCCACCCCACTACAGACTTAAAGAACCCATGGAATCCAGCTGCTAAAGGCTTTTAAACTTGAGGGTGTATTTCCTAAAGACATTTGTAATACCTGTATCCCAAACTCATTGTTAATAGGCACATAGTCTTGAATGCACACAGGCCCTAAATAGGGCATTGGGGTCGGGGAGGGAAAAGAGGAGTTTATGAGGTTCAAAATGAAGAGAAAAGTTTTCATGACAAGGCAAAACAGTATCCATGTAATTTGAGCCTTCCATTACAGTGTTAGAAATCCAGACAGCCACCTCATGCTAAAGCATGAGAACCAGGAAGCAAAACCAACCAGTCATACTCCATGGCCCATGCATTTTAATGTCTTTTAATTAATTTTTAAATGTCAGTTGATTCATTTATCTTTAGCCCGCATACAGCATTCCCCACCCCAATCATTCCAGAAGGCACAGTCTGCCCCCACCCTACAACCCCTTAAATCTCGAGATATTAAAAGAAGAATCAGACATGGGGGTTTTTTCATGCCTTCATGTTTTAAGGGAACACTTGAGCCACATATTCAAGCTTTGCTCCGCAACCAGCTCGGCTTGAAGTCAGGGCCTTAAAATAAAAATGTTGAGGTTCTCTCAGTCACCTAACTCACGGAGCTGGGGCTTTAAGTAAAAACACCAAACACAATAAGACTTGCAGTAAAAGTCATGAGGTAGCAGCACTAATATTTGAAGGAAAAGATCACTTTATAGGTGTTTGTAATGCACACGTTACCTCAGGCTCTAGTCTTACCCAAGACACAATGGTGCAACATCAGCATCATAACCAAGTGTGATATTAGTGACCCCACTTGCCACGTAGGGTTTTTCTCAATATGAGACACAAACAACAACATATTTTGCTTGAAGCCACCAAGTTTCAGTGGATTTATTGGAGGCTGATTTCCAGCTATCAACATTAAAAATAGTATTACCATTCAGAACTTAATAGTGGAAGGCTAGTGGTTCAAGGACATATTCCAGCACAGCACTTAAGTCTGTGAATAAACTCAAAGCCTGACTCTGGTCATCTGGTATTCAAGGGAAAACAGTCATTAGAAAAATTGGCAAAAGCAGATACAAACAAGCAAACAATTTTTTTTTAAAGAATATATTAGGAAGCTGGACTGAGGTAGGATTAGGAGGTACTTTGCCCATCTATCCAACTGATCACAGCCAGTGAACTACCTAAATCAGGCACAGCGTAAAAGCAACATGTCCATCTTGCAAGGACATAAGAAGTTCTGATGCTTGAATGTCAAAGCAGATCAAGCAGACCATAATTGACATTCCTACAAGCCATTACATTTAGTATGCTCTGACCTGTGTGGAACTCAAAGGTGTGAAATTCTCTCTTACTTTTAAAAGCAGTAGACATTTGTTTTTTTAAG